TCTACTTAATTATGTTGATAGCTAATTTTACACTCCTATCAATGTGCCTGTTAACATATCAATGTAAATATTCACATTGTCACGGGTCGGGCCAAGCCCGCCTCGGGCTGCGTTCGGGCTTCGGGCCGCCCACGGGCTGCGAGCCAATTTTACACTCTTATCAATGTGAATGTTAACATGTCAATGTGAATATTCACATTGACAACGGGCCGGGCCGGGCCCGCCCCGAGCAGCGGACGAGCTTTTGGCCGTCCATGGGCCGTGGGCCAATTTTATACTTTTATCAATGTGAATGTTAACATGTCAATGTGAATATTCACATTGTTAACGGGCCAGCCCCGGGCCGCCCATGGGCCGCGGGGGGGTTTCGCGCCGCCACGGGACGAAGGCCAATTTTACACTTCTATTAATGTGAATGTTAACATGTCAATGTGAATATTCACATTGTCAACGGGCCGAGTCGGGCCGGGCCGAGTCGGACCCGTCCTGGGCTGCTGTCTAGTTTTATACTCTTATCAATGTGAATGTTAACATGTCAATGTGAACATTCATATTGTCAACAGGCTGGGCCGGGCCCGTCCACGGGCCGTGGGCAGGTTTCGAGCAGCTACGAGGCGCGGGCTAATTTTACACTCCTATTAATGTGAATGTTAACATGTCAATGTGAATATTCACATTGTCAACGGGCCGGGCCGGGCCCGCCCCGGGCTGCGGGCAGGCTTTTGGCCATCCATGGGCCGCGGCCCAATTTTATACTCTTATCAATGTGAATGTTAACATGTCAATATGAATATTCACATTGTCAACAGGCCGGACCGGGCCCGCCCTGGGCCGCCCATGGGCTGCGGGTGGGTTTCGCGCAGCCACGGGACGGGGGCCAATTTTACACTCCTATTAATGTGAATTTTAACATGTCAATGTGAATATTCACATTGTCAACGGGCCGGGCCCGCCCTGGCTCGCGGCCGGGTTTCGGGCCGCCCACGGGCCAATTTACATTCCTATAAATGTGAATTTTAAAATATGAATATTCATATCATTAAATTGCTAATCGTTGAAAAAATATTTATAAAGGTATCAAAATTAAATATAAGGGTATAAGTGTCCAAGAAAATAGTGTAAATCAAGAAAATGGATTTTATGGAATAAAACTATACATACATGGGACTAAATGGGTTAAAAAATTCTTTCATGGACGTCTTCGGTTAAAACACTTCTAAATTGGACTTATCAATAAAAATCTCAAAAAGTAATTTATAATTTAAATAAAGCTCAAAGAGTGAGTTTGTAATTTACCCTTAATTTTTTATTTTATTTTAGCCACCTTCCAAACAAAGCCAAAGTTTTCCAATCCAAAGCGACTAGCAAACACAAATCATCCAACCACTCTCCTTTTTATTTCAAAGTTACATACTGGTTATAGAATTATAAGGTTCTGCTTCTTTCAAATTTTGATCATCTCAATTTGAAAGAGCGTTTGAATTTAATAAGTTTATTTTGAAACCGCCTTTAGTAATCTAAATTATTAACTTTTTAGAATTTGTTGAGTTAAATTTTTAAGTAAAAAATCAATACTATCGAACATCGATAGTTATAAGTTTGAATTAAATTTGTATTACATAAAATGAATAATTATTATTAAAATTATATTTGTCGTTTATTTTTTAAAAACAAATATAATTCAAATATATAGTTATCGATGTCCAATTATCTTTATTTTTTTTGCATAAATATTATTCTTAACTAGTCTTAAAAGTGAAATGTTTGAATTACCGAAATTGGTACTAAAATGAGCCTAACAAACTCAAATGTTCTCTCAAGTTAAGATGACATCTGAAAAAATATGTATCCAAGAACGCTCTTTGCTCGAAGGGGAAGAGTGGCTGCGGTTGTCCTTTGACAACGTATAAATGAGAGAACTGCACTCTCAGGCTGTTAATAGTATTATGGATGAAGACTAGGAGATATCCACGAAGATGAATACGGAAACTCTATGAAGCCAAACCTAGAAAAATTGCAAAATATTACTACATAATTTAATTTTTATCATCATCTACTTAATTATGTTGATAGCGCCTTTGAATTAAAATTCTAATTAAAATATTACTCTTGTAACTAACTAGTTTTTATCAAAATTCATAAAATCTCAATTGGTCAAGTTCATTGCTGGTAACCACATAATTTGATTTTTTTTTTTTTTTTTAAACCAATCACATATTTCATACTAGAGAAACACTATGGGGAACCCTTTTCAAAAGTATATATCATATGTACTTTATATTAACAAGAAAAACGAGATAATTTTAATTTTTTAAGTTATAACTAAAAAAAAAAATCATAACTAAACATAATATGAGGTTAAAGAATTCATGAGTCATAATTAAAGGAAAAAAAATTAATTATAATTAAATAAAAATAATAATATAATACGAGAATTTCCATTCATATTAATATTATTGAATATGAGCATTTCCGAAGTAGCAAAAAAAATATTAATGAATATGAGCAGTTGCGTCACGAGAGCACCTAATAATTATATGTAAAGTACCGAACATTCTGTTAAAGACAAAATTTACTTACTTTTAACACTCAAGCTTTTTGAGTTTCAACTAAAAATAAGACTGATCCTTAATGCTTTTCGAATAGGAAAATGTTTGAGGGTCATAATTTTTGTGGTTCAAATAGTTCAAAATTGTTAAAACAACGTCATTTTGACAATTTTGAAATTATTTTGTACTCAAAATAATGTCGTTTTAACAATTTTAAACTATTTGAATCACAAAAATTGTAGCCCTCATCATTGCTGTTTCAAATAATCTCTCTCTCTATCTCTCTCTCTGCACCGTTACAGTTAATCACTCGTGTCAACCGAAACTATTCCGTTACAACACTCATAATCAAAGCCCTGTTAATTGAAGAGAGCTCTGTCTCAAGAAAAAGAACAAAACTTGGTTGGCTTCTTCTCATCTAACCCATTCTGCATTCTCCTTACTTCACTCCTACTATACGTGGGTCCTCTCCTCCCCCCCTAATAATCTAAACCCACTACCCATGTGTTTACTTCAGTCTATTCTTCACATTCATCTTGTTTCCTTTCTCATTTTTTACTTCTTTCTTTTAATGATTGAGTGAGAAATGCAAGATCCTGAGGCTTGATTTGAACCTTTCTGTTGGAAGGAGATGGGGTTGCCTCTGATTCTCATCTTGCTCAAACTCATAATTCTCAGTGTTTTATCACACTGTGAATCTGCAGGTATTGGGTTTGTGATTCCTTTTGTTTTTACATTTTCATTTGGTATAAAGATTGAATTTTTTTTTGTTGCTCCATTTAGTTTCTTGAGTAAGTCTATGTGGGTTTTCATGAATTTTGAATGTGGAGTACAATTTGGATTTGGGATCTCAAAATTGTCTCTTCTCTGCTTTACTTTTAGAATAAAGGAGTGTCATTGATATGAAAATAATTTTGGTAGAGTTGTGTAGTTCATGGCTGATGTACATTTTCAGATGGGACTATTTCAATAATTTTGGTAGAGTTGTGTAGTTCATGGCTGATGTACATTTTCAGATGGGACTATTTCAATATTTTGGTCCAGTTGAGAATTTGCACATAATTTTCACTTGCCATTTTTAATCTATGAGGCAAAAAAATTAATAAAAATAAAATAAAATAAAATAAGGCATAAGAAGAAAGAAAACTTTGCTATCATTTTGGGGAATCCATGTAAAAATTACAGTAGAGTTTATTTTATTTGTCTGTGCTTCAATATTTAAGTTATTAGTTCTATCTAAACTCCCTCATAATTAAAAAAAATTAGAGGGTTCAGTCTGAATCCATTATCCTCCAAATCAATGATTATTGCAGTGATGATTTTTTGGGAAAACATTTTTTTTTTCTTTTTTTTAATTTTTAAAATATTCAAGTGATGTTCACCAGCCTTTCAATGTGATAATGTAATTATTTGGCCAAATTTTGGTCATTTAAATAAATATTTAAAATGGCCAAAGTTTTCTCATTCCAGATTTAAATTTGAAACTTGGCTGAAATTTTCAAGTTCACGTGAAATTATTTTCATATTTCAATGTCCAAAATTTCACAAATTTGTCAATTCGAACCAATTATAGCACCTTTTTTTAATGTGAAAAATGAATTAGAAAGTTGAATTTTTCATTTTTGTTGCGGATCTTGGGCACACCAGGGGACACTCGCAAGCAAAAAACACAAGACTTTTAACGTGGTTCGGCAAACCGGCCTACGTCCACGGGAGCGATGTTGTTATATATCAACAAATGGAGGAGGTGCGTTTGAACCTTGTTTCAAAGTTGGTTGTACACAGTTCAATAATTTTGGAGGTGATGGATGGTCATCTGGCAACTGAGCAGTTTGTTATGATATATGTACCTCTACATGGTTTTGACTTTTGAGAATAAATGAGAACAATTCTTTTGCAAAAACAAAAGCAACCATTAGGCTGGGCTAGTCGTATTGTTTCGCTAAAAAATGCAACATTGCGAACTTCGATCACTCAAAAACGAACCACCACTTTCTCTTTCTGATTCATAATTTGCTGGAAGTCATAACTCTCAACAGAAGTCAGGATTCATTTAAGGCTTTTTGTTTTTTATTTTTTATTTTTTGGAGTGGAAGAAGGAGGATAAGTAAGCAAGTTTGAGGTAGATGTACTTTTTTTAAGAACTATGTGTTCAATGCAAGCCTTTGTTCATTTTACAATATGCTCTTTAAGCATGATCTCCACTTATCTTCACTTTTCCTCACAACAAAATACTTGTTATGGTAACCTCACACCAAAATTTCATTAATTCCTGTCACAATATTCTATGAGTAAAATTATGGTTTCTTATTTCATCTTAATGGGATCAATTTTCAATGAATTAGTTTGTTGGTCATTATCATTTCAAATTCACCTTTGAAGGAAAATGTTGTTACAAGAGGGAACAGGTGTTGAAGGATAACCATACTAATCAAACAGCTCCTTTCTAAAGCCTCCTGTCATGATAACATTACTGAGTTCCATCAAATCCATTTCTCGTTTCTCATTTCTTATTATTAAAATCAATTTTTTTTAATTTTTTTTTTTGCTGCTCTAGGGGATGACATACAAGGAGTATCAGAATTCAAAATTTTAACTGAGATGTTTTACCTTTTTCCTCTTTTGCAGGCTTTGATATACCATCACTTGCAGCAGCTTCTGTGCTTCTCCGTGTAAATCTGGGAACACTGGACATAAGGTCTCATAGAACCAAAAGCCGGACATTCCTGCAAAATGGTAACTTTTTGCACAGCCTAAGATTCATAAATTAGAACTGACTTATACCTTCAGAACAGGAGGTTTTTTTTTTTTTTTCTTGATCTTGGTTATATACTGCTAGTTTTGGTTGCGTCCATGGTTTTTTTTCCCTGACTTTGGGTTTTCCACGTTATATCGTGGTCTCTCTTTATGATTGATTGCTTATTTTTCACATATTTATAATTGTCTAGTTAACTTGGAATTAATCGAATTCAAACTCCTGTATTACAAGATTCTCATCACTTTTAAATTGAAAAATATCAGAAGCTTTTTTTCGAACTTCACCTCATAGTTTGTCAAAAACTTAGTCCAAAGTATAGATTCAGAATGCTGCCAGCCCACTTGAGCACATCATGGTTGGGCTTTGGGTGCACAATCTAGACTTTTTACAAGCACAAAAGATGCCACTGCTCAAGCGCACTTGGAGTGAGTCTCACTATCGCCACCCTGCTTGAGTGTGCCAGCACCCTACTAGGTAGGCTTAAGCTGGGCACACTGTCTTACCCGAATAACCCAATTTGTGACTATTTCCAACTGCAAAGTACACAAGACTACGTATAGGTTATCCTAGGCCAATTTTGTGACAAAAAACATTTGTGTCCTAAACTAATGCAGTATGCTCATGCAATTATACCTAAGATTGGATTGAAGCATGCTTGCATTCTCTTTAAGCATCTTCGATTGTGAACACTTGGACAAACAACCTATACACTTAACATAGATATGTAGCACTCATTTTGTCTACCGAAATTTCCAATTGTAACACAAAGTTTGAACAACACTAGCCAGATTATTTAATCAAAAATAGTTGTTACCAATTACCCTCACTACTCACCCATGTCTTATTAAGATGAAACAAAATGGATGCAAGTAATGACGTGACCATGATCTTGACCCATTATTTACAATGTAAATTTTTAGAGAAACCATACATAGGGAAATGAAAAATTTTAATGTTGAAAAGACTTTCAGTATGCCAGTTAATTAATCATGTCTCTGTACTTCCAGGTAGGGGTGTGAATATGTAACAATTTCTATAGATGTTTCTCTTGTTAATTTCTGATTATTAGTCCATATAAATGTCACAGACCCCGTAATCTCTCCTATGTCAACTTCTCCAAGCTTTGGCTTGAAAAGACATGGAATGCTAATTGCACCACCACCAAATGAAGCATTCCACCCTTCTCCAACTAAAGGTACATACTTTAGTAATCCAACTGAGGACATTTATCTTCCACTCAAGTTTAAAGGGAAAAATGATATTTCATGTCCAGCCTAATTTTCTTTCTTCTGTAGCCCCTGTTCAACACAATGCCATGAGGAAATCCATTGCACCTTCAACATCATCTTTCAAACATTCTGAAAAAAATTCGGAGCATGGATCTGCATTTTCGCTTTCATGGTCATTTTATATGCATCATCATGCAAAGAACAAAATCGTCAACTTGGCCCCTAGACCATCTTCACCTGCATATGGCCACCAAGGTCAGATATTTCTATTGAAATGCGCATCAATCGACTTATTTCATGTTGCATTACTGTGAGAATTTAAGTTACTAATCCTTATTGTCCGCTTTCCAATTTTATGCTTGTAAAGGTGTAGGCCCTTCGATCTCCCCATTGCATTCTCGCTTTCCTTCAACAAGAAGGTGGAGCTCTCCAGCACATGCACCATCACCAACAACCATATCAAGCCAATCTAAAAGTACAGGCAGACCTTTTTCTTTTTTCTTTTTTAATTTGTTTTGAACCTCAACATTTATGGAAAATGCTAATTTTTACTTCACGTTGATCCTTTTTTGTGTCTGGCAGTGCCTATTCCTTCACCTACAGTATCTCCATTGAGCTCTTCCTTTAACGAGAAGGCAACTCCACCACACTCACCACTTTTAGCACTACCACCACCTCCTCCTAATGAAGGTACATGCCAGTGTTGCTTTTGATGCTGCTAGAATTGTTGAATAGCTTGATATGATATTTGGTGCAGCTTATGGAGCTGCTTATAAATAGCATCTTTATTTTGGAAATTTGTGCCAAAGTGTTTGGTACGACTTCTTCTTACAACTTATGAGGCAAAAATAGCTTAAATAAGCTAAAATAAGTTAATTATTGAGAAGCAAGTAGAGAGGTGCTTTTCGTTTCTGTTTCTAATTATCAGCTTTTAGCTTACAAAAAGCTGCACCAAACAGGCCATACATTGTTAGGCATGTTTCCTAAGAGCTTAAGCTTTCTGGACAATTGGTGACTTAACATGGTATCAGAGCTCAAGTTGGAAGAGGTCTTGTGTTCAAGTCTCCATGCATGCTTTTCATCCCCGGTTGCATTCTTTCTTCTCTCTTTGTATGGATGCTCTCCACATGCAAGATGGAGTTGCATGTGAGGCAGGCAGGTTGTTGAATATCTTGATATACATTGTTAGGCACTTTTCCAATCAGCTTAAGCTTTTGCGACAATTCGTGACCTAACAAGTATAACTAGCATTATTATTAGACCGACGTTAGACCAACTTCATATGATTGAAAAATATAACAATTGTGTCTTATCCTATTTGTAGAATGTACATCAGTGACATGCAAAGAACCATTGACATATACAGCTCCTGGATCACCGTGTGGTTGTGTGTGGCCTATTGAAGTCAGACTTCAACTTAGTGTTGCCCTATACACATTCTTCCCTTTGGTGTCAGAGCTGGCCAAGGAAATTGCAGCTAGTGTTTCACTTAACCGATGTCAAGTTCGCATTATGGGAGCAAATACAGCCAGCCAGCAGCTAGAGAAAACCGTGGTCCTTATCAACATGGTACCATCACGAGAAAATTTTGATGAATCTACTGCATTCTTGATCTACAAGAAGTTCTGGCACAAACAAGTTTTCATAAAGACTGCACTCTTTGGTGCCTATGAAGTGATCCAAGTTCGGTATCCAGGTTATGCGTCAACCTTCAAATTCTTGGGTTGCCTTCTCAAAACTAAAGAAAAGAATTAAAATTTTCCAGCTTTTATGCCAGCTTCATAACTTTAAGCAATTACATTGTTAGAATTTTTTTAAAGAAGCATACCACCTTCCTTCCTCCTCCAACCATCATACAATCTACACCACCTCCATCTCCACCCGCTACCCCACACCACCAAACACCACCCATCCTCCACTGGCACCCCACATCACCAAATAAATCAAATGCAACGAAGAGTTTTGCAGAAAAAATGCAACAAGAAGTTAAAATTGAACAATTTTGGAAATTTTGTTTTGTTTTTTTTTTTTTTTTTTTTTTGGAATATAAATTGTATTGTCACATCCAGCAAACAACAGCCATAACACAGTAGACTGTATGTAGACCATGATGGAAGACATGGCTGAGTGCATACATAGCAAAGTACAGCAAATTAAAAGCAAAAAATTGGCAGACTGTAGACCATTACTTTACTTCATTTGGGAGTGAAGAGGGAGAAGAAAAACAAAATTGAAAGCAGAACCCTGGATGGAATGAAGGGCTGACCTAGTAGGGGGACAGTTCAGGAAAAAAAAAAAGGCAGGGGAAGGGGGGGAAATGAAGAGAGAGAGAGAGAGAGAGAGAGATCAGTTGAGAAAAAAAAGGGGGAAATAAGAAGAGAGAAATGGGGTGGTGGAGAGGGTGGGTTTGATGGTGTGGAGTGGCGTGTGAAGGATGGGGTGGTGCTCGGTGGTATGGGGTGGCAGGTGGAGGAGGAGATGGTGCTTGCCTGCTTGGTGGTGGTTTTGATGTTGCAGAGAGAGGGAGAACAAAATGAAGAGGGAGATTGAGGGAGGAAGGATTTTTGAGATGAAGTGCTTAGTATGGCTAAGATTTATGGTTCTAATTTGTTGATGTGAGCATTTTTGTCAAACATACTAACAACCGTAATCAATTTGACCAATTTGATACAAAGTACCAAATTAATATGCAAAATTGTTACAATTGAAACGTTATGGACCAAAATGACAGAAGGGAAAAAAATTTTAGGGATCATTAGTGTTAACTTTTTCTTCTTCCAAATATAACATTAGAATTCATTGGCCTTAAGAAGCAATTCTTCCTTGAAGCTGCTTTCACAACATTTTTTACTCTTTGCCGTGTTCTATTTCTTGTTTCTAGACTTGCACTGATGAAACTCTTAAACATCTATAGGTCTTCCGCCATCTCCACCTTCAATGCCTTCAAGCACTACTATAGATGGTCAGCCATATCCTGGCCATGACAATGACGGAAGGACAATAAGACCTTTAGGTGTGGATGTGCCAAGGAATAAGAAGTATGGGCCTCATGGAAGTATCATTACTGTAATTGCTCTATCGTCTGTCACAGCTTTTGTTGTATCCATGGGAGCTATTTGCCTTTTGATGTTGAAATTTGGCTGCTTTTATCAACCTGAACAAAATCCACCTGTTTTGATATCCTCCCATGGAAAACCATCAGGTAATATCATCCTATCAAAACCATCAAATTTACCAAATCTTTCAGGAAGTAAAAAATTGTGGAAACCTTTTCATTTAGCTTATTCAGCTTGATTTTATCTGTGTACCATCAAAGAATATGTGAACTGCACAAAGATGCAAATACTGAATAATTGTTATATTCTCTTCCTATATATATATATATATATATTTATAATCAGGTATCTAGGTAAACTTGACTAATCCCGAAACCTATACAAAAAGCCCTTTTCACATGGGTCAGAAAAATCTAGGGCTATGCCCACAGGCGTGACCCCTAAGGGATTGATAGCATTCAATGGGAGTCGAACCTTAGATTTGATGCTTCATAAGGCACCAAGGGCCAAGTGAACCACAAAGCCAACCCCGTGTGATATAATTTATCTACTTTTTTCTTTATGAGAATCACATGTCATCCATACTCCATAGTAATTCCATAAACACTCCCTTGCTCAAAAGCCATTGCCTCAGTTAAATTCAAGGCAATTGTATCATATCTAGCTGCATTAACCAATATATTTCTTTGCCTTAATCTTGTCTTTTTATCACCTTTAACCTAAATGGAATCACTCCTTACTGGCTTATTTGTCGCACATTGCACATGGCCAAAGCATCTCAGTTGACTTTTCTTTATTTTATCCTCAATTGGTGTCACTATTAACATCCTATGAATACATATCTATTTCACCTATAATTTCTTTGAATATGTTTCTCATCATCTTGTACCTGATTGTAAGTTTTTTTTGTAGTAAGTTCATTTACTCCAAAATCCCGGTTAGTTTGATTTAGAATCCCAATGTCCATGACTTCATTCATGCTAATTTCACATCTAGACAATAATGAAACATAAATTCAGCAGGGGCTGCCAGGTCATTGACATTTGGAAGCATGCCCAGCTCAGCATCAATGCCCTTTAGTTCTAGCTTGTTGGCATACACGGGAACTGCTAAAATGTTCAGCCTAAATGATATAGAGAGAGCCACAGATAAGTTTGATGCTTCAAGAATACTCGGGGAAGGTGGTTTTGGACTTGTCTATAGCGGCATTCTTGATGATAAAAGGAAGGTGGCAGTTAAGGTTCTCAAGAGAGATGATCATCAAGGTAGCTGTGAGTTCTTGGCAGAAGTTGAGATGCTTAGTCGTTTGCACCACAGAAACTTAGTCAAATTAATTGGCATCTGCGCAGAGGACCATACTCGTTGCCTAGTCTATGAACTTGTTCCTAATGGAAGTGTGGAATCACATTTACATGGTAGGTGAAATTTTTAATATTTGTATAATAAATTATTTAATTATTTGATTAGTGCCATTTTTTTTTAATCTGTGCGTGAGCTTCAGGAGTTGACAAGGAAGCTGCCCCTCTTGATTGGGGTGCTCGAATGAAGATTGCCCTTGGTGCAGCTCGGGGTTTAGCCTATCTTCATGAAGACTCAAGTCCTCGTGTTATACACAGGGACTTCAAATCTGGCAACATTTTGTTAGAACACGATTTTACACCTAAAGTTTCAGATTTCGGATTGGCTAGAACAGCACTGGATGAGGGAAACAAACACATCTCAACGCATGTTATGGGAACTTTTGGGTATGAACTCTTATTTTAATGTTTTCATAATTACTACCACCACTACAACTTGTTCAAATAATAATAGTAGTAGTAATGACAATTGATGATACTGATGGTGGTGATCGTAGCAGAACTAGCAGCAGCACGGGACTTAATTTTGCAATTCAAGCAAAAGGCATAGCAAGTCAGTCAAAGGATTTTTCCTATGATTGACTAAACTAGTGACAATAATAGTTTCCGTAGGCTGTGCTTGGATCATGGATTTGGGTAGAGAATTGGAAACGGAATTGAGTGATATTCTTTATACAGAATAAATGGAAAGTTTGTTTTTTCGATGAATAAGAAATGGCAAGTTAGCAAGGAAGGATGTGGAATATAATCCGACAGAAAAACTAAGGCCCCATTTGTTATATACAATGGAATAGCAGAAGTGGATTTATATTGCCAGCCCAAATTACAGAGAGTTCCTCGTTGATTTTATTATATTCCTTCAGTTTTGTAACTAAAAACTGTATCTTCATGTTGTAGTTTCTTTTTGTGTATCCTTCGGTGATTTGTGCTTTTACCTCTTAAACTTTATTTCCTGTGAACTTTCTTCTTTGCATTTACTTAGCTTTTAAAATACCTTATTTCCATTATTTATTTATTTTCTTTGCAGTTACTTAGCTCCAGAATATGCAATGACCGGTCATCTTCTCGTGACAAGTGATGTTTACAGCTACGGTGTAGTCCTCCTTGAGCTCCTAACAGGAAGAAAACCTGTGGATTTGTCACAGCCACCAGGTCAAGAAAATCTGGTTACTTGGGCTCGTGCACTCCTCACAACCAGGGAAGGCTTAGAAACAATTATTGACCCTTATCTGAAGTCAAATATCCCATTTGATAGCACAGCCAAGGTAGCAGCAATCGTGTCAATGTGTGTGCAACCAGAAGTGTCTCACCGTCCTTTCATGGGGGAAGTTGTTCAGGCCTTGAAACTTGTCTGCAATGAGCTTGATGAGACAAAAGAGACTATATCGAGAAGTTGCAGCCAAGATGCCCTTTCTGTCAATGTGGATACTAAGATAAGTAAATTTTCGGGTGAGCTTATGGAAGAAGCTTCTGGGACCCATTTCCCAAAACCTGGCTATGATTCAATTTCTTACTCAAAGTTAGAATTATCAGCTTCAGATTTGGTGAGTGCATCAGCACGATTTGAGGGAGAGGAATTTGGGTCTTTTAGAAGGAACTCTAATTCTGCACCTCTGAGAATGGGGAGAGAAAGGCAGTTCTGGCAAAGATTAAACAGTTTTTCTGGAGGCAGCACGAGTGAGTAAGCGTTGATTTTCATTAAAATTATGGCCAAGATCTTGTTAACTCTTGACAATGTTCACCATTAAAGAAAAGCACTTCGAATGAATTTGGAGTTACACTTGAAGGAACAGGAGTGAGAGATTTATATTGTGCAGAGGTATGAATTGCAGTAATCTGTAGCCCTTAACATTGTTTTTTTTTTTTAAATTGAAATACTTTTAAATCCTTTGTGAACCATAATCCTTCATTTAGTGAGAAATGAGAATGTATATGAAGCACCTGTACTTGAGATTTAAGCAAGTACAGGACATGACTAATGAGTGAAACATCATTTCTTCTGTTAGAGGAATCCTGTAATACTTCCTATCTATGAAGCACAGAAATTTGATATGGCCTCACAAATCAGTGTTTGACCCGTCAAGGACACAGACACGTGTCAAACATGCCCAAAAATTTGTCCTTTAAAAAAAATTTAAAATATTAGACACAGGCACGTCATAGGACACGATAGGGTCGTTTGTAATTTTCCAAATAAGGCCACAGTAGTATTTGTATTTGATTTTTTTATTTGTTTATTAAAATGGGTAGTCATATCATTAAAATAGAGAACTTTCGAGAACTTTTAGTTAAAAATATTTTACGAGACTCATCAGTTTGATTGATGACACAACCAGAGAGAGAGAGAGAAGTGACTGAGCCGACCTCCAATGGCTTGCGGTTGCCTTCTCTCGGCGCTGATGACTGTAGAAACTCTTCTTTTGAGCTTTATTTATTTTATTTTTCATTTTGGCAAACCAACTAATTCATTGAAACAAGAGAAGAAAATGTAAAAGAACGTAAGGGCATACCCCTAGGACAAAACAGAACTTGCTGAAAACAAACATCCACAAGAAAACCCAAAAATTCTAAACTTCCATACTGAGGAAAATCATTTTTGGAAAATGCCTCCTACTAAACAAACCACATCTAAGTTGCATAGCATCTCAAGACACCAAACTGTTGTTCCAACCCACGTGCATGCAAAACCATGCAAGCAAGTAGAGGGTCAAAGAAGATGGCGTAAGAAGACCTCCACTGGAAGTGAAAGTCTATGCTGGGCATATTTGCAAGTTTCTCTCTTCCCTTCTCTTCACGTTGCTGTTCCTTGTTGATTTTCACCATTCACCATTAAGGAGGGTAGAAATTTTTTGGTGGGTTGGTATCTCTCTCTCCCTCTCTTTGTGTATAAATAGAGATGAGAGGGAGAAGATGTATTGTATCAGAAATTGGGGAGTGAGAGCTGTGAGTTGAGTGAGTTTCATCTCCTCCTCTGTATTTGTATTTTGCTCCATTTTAGTGAAAAATTCTCATTTCTGTCCGTGGATGTAGGCATTGGGCCGAACCATGTAAATATTGTGTTCTCTGTGTGTGTGAGATAATTTTTCTGGGTGTGTTTGATCCTAACAAAGTGGTATCAGAGCAGGTTGAGTGTTTTTCGGAAAAACAGAGTGCATTTTTCCGAAATGCCCAGAAACCAAAGTGGTTGAAATCCACTTTTGATCAGACGAAGTTAAAGCCCTCGAAGAGACGAGCACAGAGGTGAAAACCTCGTCGAAAACGGAGATCGGACGGCCACACACGCGCCACACGCGCTTTGTGACGCCGTTCCCACGCGTCCCCACTCTCACACGCGCCTCACGCGCTTCCAGATGAAGAAGAAGCGTGATTTCACGTGCATACACGCGTCGCACACGCGCGCGCCAACCGACGTCATCAGCCAAGCCGAGCCTTTAGCCGAGCCGAGCCGAATCCGAGCCGTTGACCAAGCTTTCCAGCCGCTGACCAAGCCGATCGAAGCCGAGCCGTTAAGCCGAGCCGGGACGAAGCCAAAGCCATTGACCGAGCCGTTGACTGAGCCGCTGACGTCAACCCGACGCCAGCCAAACCGGAGAAATAATCTGGTGCTTCTCAGCCGCACCAGATTCTGCCGATCTGAACCATTCAATCTGTTTTGGCTTGATCTAAGCCATTTGAGGTCCAATTTGGGTGATCCAATAGTGCTTTCCACTATTTAGAATATTCCGGACACATCCGTACAATCTGATTTTTCAAATCAGCTTTCAAAAATTTGTCGTCTTTCTTTTGGCAATCCGAAGTGTTTTTTCGGCTAATTTGACCAATCCGGACTCCACAGCAAAACCTGTTTTCAGCCAGAGATCACTTTTTGTATGATGGAGGAATCAACGTCGACTTCAGGTTCCATGACAAAGTTAAATGCTTCCAATTATGCCATTTGGAAGCCCAGAATGGAAGATGTCTTGTACTGCCGAGATTTGTTTGACCCCATTGAGCTTAAAGGAGTTAAACCACCAACGGAAAAAGACGAAGACTGGAAGCGGAAGAACCGAAAGACCATTGGCCAGATCAGACAATGGATCGATCACAGTGTCTTCCACCATGTCGCCCAGGAGACTGATGCCTATGCTCTCTGGACAAAGTTAGAAGGCATGTACCAGTCGAAGACTGCTCGGAACAAAGCCCTCCTGATGAGAAGACTTGTGAATTTGAAGTTGAAATGCGGTATCTCTGTTGCTGAACACACCAGTGAGTTTCAAAATCTGGTGAACCAATTAGCAACTGTCAAAATGGAGTTAGATGATGAGATGCAGACCCTATTGCTGCTCAGTTCTTTGCCAGACAGTTAGGAGACATTGGTGGTGTCCCTTAGCAACTCTGCCCCAAAAGGGAAACTGACCATGAGCATGGTTACAGATGCTTTATTTAGTGAAGAGGCAAGAAAAAAAGAAATGGGTGGAGATCAATCCCATGCCCCCGTCACAGAAAATAAAAGCAGAGACAGAGGCAAGGGCAGGGGAAGAAGCAAAAGTAGAGGACGGAGCAGAGGAAGATCTCAAGACAGAGGGAAATCCAGAGAAGGTACGAGCCGGCCAAGGTTCAAATGTTACCATTGTGGCTAGGAGGGTCACATAAAGAAGTATTGCTATGCCTTGAAGGGAGAACAAAAACAAGGCAATAGACAGCCAAAGACCGAAGATGGGAACACTGCAGTTACTGTCTCAGAGGATACTGCATTATTCTCTATTGAAGAAGAAGAATGCCTCCATATGTCAGACAACGACACCGAGTGGGTGGTAGATACAGCAGCTTCCTACCACGCTACATCCCAGAAGGAGTTCTTCAGTACGTACCAAGTTGGAGATTTTGGTACAGTGAAAATGGGTAACTCCAGTTTTTCGAAGATTATGGGAATTGGTGATGTTCGCATCCAAACCAAAGTTGGGTGCACGATGGTGTTGAAAAATGTCAGGCATGTTCCCGATTTACGCCTGAATCTTATCTCAGGGATAGCCTTAGATCGACAAGGCTATGAGAACTACTTCGGCAAAGGCATATGGAAGTTGAAAAATGGATCTCTCGTGGTAACCAAAGGACAGGCAATTGGCACACTATACAAGACTCATGTGGAGGTGAATTCAGATAACCTCAATGCAACAGAAGATGAGGCATCACCAAATTTGTGGCACAAAAGGCTGGGTCACATGAGTGAGAAAGGGTTGTAGATTTTGGCAAAGAAGTCACTTATTCCCTTTGCCAAAGATGCAAAATTAAATCCTTGTGACAACTGCTTGTTTGGGAAACATCATAGAGTCGCTTTCCATTCATTATCCAGAAAACAATCAGAGTTGTTGAGCAGAGTATACTCTGATGTTTGCGGTCCCATAGAAGTGGAATCTTTGGGTGGTAGAAAATACTTCCTTACGTTCATTGATGATGCATCACGGAAGGTATGGGTTTGTGTCTTAAAGACGAAAGCTGAGGTGTTCCAGCATTTTCAGACATTCCATGCTATGGTGGAAAGGGAGACCGGAAAGAAGCTGAAGTGTCTCCGAACAGACAATGGAGGCGAGTACACGTCAAAGGAGTTTGAAGCCTACTATGCTACTCGCGGTATTCGGCATGAGAAGACTGTTCCTGGAACCCCACTACATAATGGTGTAGCCGAGAGAATGAACCAAACCATTGTGGAGAAGGTCAGATGTATGCTCAAAATGGCAAAGCTACCAAAGCCATTTTGGGGAGAAACTATTAGTGTTGCTTGCTATTTGATCAACAGATCGCCATCAGTTCCACTGAATTTTCAGATTCCAGAAAAAGTATGGTCTGGAAGGGAGATCTCTTACTCTCACTTGAGAGTGTTTGGGTGCAAAGCATTTGCACATGTATCCAAGGTGCACAGGCAGAAGCTGGATGACAAAGCCACTCCATGCATCTTTATTGGCTATGGAGATGAAGAATTTGGATACAGATTATGCGATCCGAAAAACAAGAAGGTCATTCGAAGCCGAGATGTGGTGTTTCAAGAAGGCCAGACCTTCGAAGACTTTGGGCAACCAGCCAAACCCGAAGTTGATGATGTTTCAGAAATTATTCCAAACCCTGCACCATCACAGCATGCCACTGATGAAGAAGAGTTACCGCAGCATGCAATCAATGATGTAGAGTTGCAGGATGGATTTCTAGAAGAAGAAGATCCAGAAACAGAGGGTGTTAAGCAGGGGGAGCCACAACCCCCTCTACCAGAGACTGTTGGTCCACAATTACGAAGATCAACAAGAGAGGTTAAGCCGTCATCCAAATACCCTGTTTCTGAGTATATTTTACTTACCGATGAGGGGGAGCCAGAAAGTTTTCAAGAAGCTCAAAATCATAAGGAGAAGAGTAGCTAGCAGCAAGCTATGCAAGAAGAGATGCAATCCTTGCAGAAGAATCAGACTTATGATTTGATGGAACTTCCCCAGGGTCGAAAAGCATTGCAGAACAAATGGGTGTTCAAGTTGAAGAAAGATGGCAGCGGAAAGCTAGTCAAGTATAAGGCTCGATTGGTTGTCAAAGGTTTTGGACAGAAGAAAGGTATTGATTTTGATTAAATCTTCTCGCCAGTTGTGGAAATGACATCCATTCAAGTAGTTTTGGGACTAGCAGCTAGTTCGAATTTGGAACTTGAACAAATGGATGTGAAGACGGCATTTCTCCATGGTGATATGAAGGAAGAAATTTACATGGAGCAGCCAGAAGGTTTTAAAGTCAAAGGGAAAGAAAACTTAGTCTGCAGATTGAAGAAGAGTCTCTACGGCCTCAAACAAGCGCCGAGACAGTGGTACAAGAAGTTTGACTCATTCATGGTAGGTCATGAGTACAAGAGAACTGCTGCAAACCAGTGTGTTTATGTCAGGAAATTTCCCGGTGGAAACTTTATCATACTTCTGCTCTATGTTGATGACATGTTGATCGTTGGACAAGACGCCACAACAATCAGATCACTGAAGAATGAGTTATCACAGTCCTTTGATATGAAGGACCTAGGCCCTGCACAGCAAATTTTGGGCATGAATATTGT